ATGTATGTAATATGTATGAGCTCTTTTATGGAAATGTATTAGTGTTATGAATTTATTAAACTATACTTTTATAGTTTAATATACGTGTTCTAAAATGAATAATTAATATTTATTATGAATGACTTAGTTTCAGTTCATGATGACAAACTAACAAAGAAACACATTCAATAATTAGAACTTATGATTATACACTTTGCTCAGCATAATACAAAGTGTTATGATATTTACATGTTGTTGGCTAACTTTAGCCATTCTGCCATGTTTTGGAAAAATCATAGAAAAATCATACGAAGTCGAAAACTAGATCCGTAAATTTTGAGAGTTCACAAAATGTGTCTAGTTTACTCATAATTTTTATCACGATTTTTAATGACCTCCAACTTGGGTGAAAATTTCCATAATCACAGACTGGTCCGGATTGTTGTTCGAAATGATAGGTAGTTTTGTAAAAATCACCATAAATTGTAGAAAAATCGTATGGAGATATGCAAGTAGTCATTTTAAAGCTAAAAACTTGAACTATTTGCAACTTATACAGTTTTGAAAACAAAAATGTTTAAGATGGCCAAAACAGTCCGTGAATGGAGTTGAACTTTTCTGATGAAGGCTGTTAGAAAATTTTAGTTATGTTCTTGGTGTTTTAACTTGTATTCCCCCCCTGAAAACTTGAGAAAACATGAAAATGTAGGGGTATGAAATCACCTTGAGTGATTTCAGTAGATAAGTGTTGAAGAAGAGAAGTGTTCAACCCAAGAACACTTGAAGAATCACTTGAAGATTCGAAGCTCTAACACAATTATGATGGAGTTTGTGTAAGATATCCATGATTTGAGTATAACAAGTGAAATAATCATAAGGAGAATGGATTATGCTTACCAAATGTGGAGGAAAAACCCAAGATCATCCCTTGAATCTCGAATTTCTAGAGAGAGAAAGTGAGAGAGGAAAGAGTTTGATCTTCTTGGTGAAATGAGAGCAAATGTGAGAAGTGAGGAGAGAGGATGAATATTCAGCTCTAAAAAACGTGGGAAAGAGTGATAATTGAGTGGAAATGAAATTGATGTGACCTAGGTAAGGTGGGGAGGTGTGGCTGGTCATAGAGTGGGTGTGGGAGTGGTTGCTTGTGTCATAAGGTAAAGCAGAATCAACACTCAACCTCTTTGTACTTTACCCACTTGCTTTTATTATTTAAATAAAGACTTTTATGAAAATATGATTAAATTGTGAATATTTAGGGTTTATTATGTTAAAATATGATTTTGAGTGAAAATCCCGCGTTAAAATAATTAAAAACGGGCCTTAAACGCAAAACTACGCGAAAACCGGGAGAAAATGGGTTCCCAGCGAGACCTCTCGGTCCTAGGCCGAGGTTCGGTCCCCGCTGAGGACTGTAGCCGGAAACAAAACGAACAGAGGGAAACGAAGGGGCGAGGAGGCGAGGAAGCGAGAGGCGAAGGCAAAGGCGAGGGGGTTCGGTCCGGAGATGAGAGGCGAAATGTCAGACCCGAAATGAACCGAATGAACAGTAGTGAACAGTGTCTTCGGGTTCGGTTCTTCCTTGCTCGGGTTCGGTTCCTTGCTCTCGGGTTCGGCCCTCTTGCTCTCGGTCCCAAAGAGGACCTTCGGGTCCTAAGAAGCTTCTCTCTTCTCAAGAGGTTTCGGTTCCTAATGTCCATTTTTCTCGTTTTTGACCCGGTTAAGGGTCGGAATGACCCGAATGATTCTAAAAAGTTACGGGAAACTTTGGAGAGAGATTTGGGAGAGATTTCACATACTTGGAGAGATTTGGGAGAGATTTGATATTCTTGGAGAGATTTCTCATACAAAGAGATATTTGAGAGAGATTTCACATACTTGGAGAGATTTGGGAGAGATTTGACATTCTTGGAAAGATTCCTCATACAGAGAGATATTTGAGAGAGATTTCACATACTTGGAGAGATTTGGGAGAGATTTGACATTCTTGGAGAGATTCCTCGTACAGAGAGATATTTGAGAGAGATTTCACATACTTGGAGAGATTTCACATACTTAGAGAGATTTCTCATACAAAGAGAGTTTTGGGAGAGGTTTCACATACTTAGAGAGATTTGGGAGAGATTTCACATACTTAGAGAGATTTGGGAGAGATTTCACATACTTAGAGAGATTTCTCATACAAAGAGAGTTTTGGGAGAGATTTCACATACTTAGAGAGATTTCAAATAGAGATAGATAGAGTGAAAACGATTGAGAGAGGTTTTGAGTGTGGCATTTGTGAGTGTCCGGCTTCGCAATGCAAGGTCCGTAAACACTGTTAAGCCTTGTTTAAGGATCTTACACACTCCCGATGAGTATGCAACATTGTTTTATCGGTTTGGCTAGCCACGTACCACAGTTTTTGGTTAAGGAGATCTAGATGTTCGCACTTTTTGATTTATGATCTCTCATTAGAATATAGAGTTGTGTAGAAATTTCATAATGTAAATTCTAGTACCCAAGGGCAAATTGAGTCAAACGGTTTGACTTGTTGACTTTAGTTGACTTTGACTTGACCGAAATTTGACAGTTGTCACAATGAATAATCATTACTTTGGAAAATAGTTAACATAAAAAATAATTTATGTTATCAACAGAAAGCTCTTATAGATTTGTGGTATTTAGCATATCCAGATGTTAAACTTCAAGGTTTGACCTCAGAGCAATGGAAGGATATGGGGTGGCAAGGAGTCAATCCATCAACCGACTTTAGGTTCAATTGCAAATAGTATAAGTTACCATTTATATTATTATATAGGGTTTAGGTCATTTTTGGTCACTTAACTTTTGGTTTTATACTCATTTGGTCATTTAACTATTTTTAAGTTTTAAAAAGCCATCAAACTTTTGACTTTGTGCTCATTTAGTCACTTAACTTTTGGTTCGATCACATTTAGTCACATAACTTTTAGATTTGTGATCATTTAGTCACCTAACTTTTAAAATTGTGCTCATTTAATCACTAAACTTTTAAAAAAATTTAAAAGTTTAGTGACTAAATGAGCACAATTTTAAAATTTTGGTGACTAAATGTGACCAAAACAAAAGTTAAGTGACTAAATAAGCACAAAGCCAAAAGTTTGATGACCTTTTAAAACAAAAAAAGAGTTAAGTGACCAAATGAGCACAAAACCAAAAATTAAGTGACCAAAAATGACCTAAACCCTATTATATATTTGAATAATTAACATTATTAATTTATTTTAATTTAGTATTTTAATCTAATTTAAAAAAAAAAAAAACATTTAGTTTTTTTATGTCTTTTACATTATTGATAATAAAAATATATACATCTCAACCGACATATTTCCCACACAGATTCGAATGAAATTTCGTAACTAAAAAAATACTTTGAAACATAAATTTGATATGTGAAATATTTATTGAACCGTAATTAAAATTGAAATGTTATTATTTCCCTCTCCTACTAACTATTTATGAATTTTTTTAGTTAATCATTAATATAAATGTGAATCGTGTTTAAATTTACAGTTTCTTTATTCTTTTTAATTAAAATTATTTCCTTTTATATATTTAGAAAACAACTTGGATTATACCGTTGCTAAACAACAATTAATCAATGATTATAATTTTATATAAATAAAAATTGTTTCATATATCTTAATAAATAATTTCACATATTTATTTGAATCAACGATTATAAAAAAAACATAAATCTCTTAATTAATAATTTATTAAAAATAACTTATTGATAATTACGAGTTTTTACTATAAAAATTTATTTATTTTTTGTAACCGTGGTTTCCACGGGCTATAACCTAGTATTCTAAACTCCTTAAGTACTTAATTACCATATTCACTTCGTTAATAGCAACACCGAGAAGCATTAACATCATTAATCATCTTCAATGTCATAACCATCATCATTACCATCCTCAACATCAACAAGATCTCCATCGACATTAACATTATCAACATTAACATCATTAATTTGATCTCCTTCGACATCAACACCCAAATTATCAGGGATATCATCACTATTTGGATTTTGAGAAGGAACTTTAGGGTTTTTTTTTTGGAAAAATTTATCTAGAGAACCACTATTAGCCTTTGTTGATTCTTCAATTCTTTTTCTCTTTTTATGTTTTTTACTACCGGATAAATATTTAGGAGGCATAATTTCTGAAAATAAAATAACAATAATCAACCAAATACTCGATAAAAACTAAAATTATGATAAATGAGCTCTAGAAATATAATTGACTATATCAAAATGTTGAATGAGCAATACCAATAACAATGTAAGCTAGAAAAAAATACTGATGATTATAAAAAGTAATAATAATTATGAATTATAAATATTACCGTTAGAAAAAAAACGAACATGTTCTTAGTTCTTCCTTTGTATGCCGAATTGCCCAAACTCAACAAATAAAAAATAGAGAGGCTATGGACTAATATATATATATATATATATATATATATATATATATATTAAAAATTTATCAATGTTTTATTGAATTTTAAAAGGTACAAGCTTTTATACTATATACAATAACTTTAGTCATTAAAAATAGTGACAAACATGTTATCTAAATACCTCAAACTATCAAACTATTTTGTGGCCAATTGAGTCGGTCAAACATTTGACCCAGCTGCTGGCTCACCTATCTATTTCCTTTCTCTTCTTATCTTTTGACCTTTTCTTTCCCCTTTATCCGCCCAATTTGTAGTTTATAATACACAAAACATTGGAGAATGGCAATTTGATATCCATAAACTGAAAATATACTCTCTCCAAACTCATTCAACGCTCTGTAAACCTAACCCCTTTCACCATCGCCGACACCATCCTTACCGGTCACTCTCATCCATGGATCACTTCTTCGAATTGTCTTTAAAGACAACACCTATGTCGTAACTCATCCCGATCCATTGATTTCTTTTCAATTCAAAGAAATAATACCAGTTTCTTATGCAATTGATGCTAGGAGGGTTACCCATTCCACCACTAGAAGATTATGACTTTTATGGGGGTTAAAAGGGAGAACGATCAAACATGTGGAGATGTTTTTTCTGCTTTTGATCCCATCGCCGCTCTAGGACTTTTACATCACCATCGGATCAAAACCACTAGGACTTTGGTGTGTTTTCTTTTGCAGCCAAACACAAAGAAAAAAACAGACGCCACCTTCTTCTTATTTTCTTCTTTGTTTGCCCGATAAAGGTAATGGTTTTGGTTCTCGATGGTGCTGCGGTGTTCATCGGCTGGAAAGTGAGGTTCACAGAGGTGACATCGGTAGTTTAAGGAGGCTGTAATAGATTGCGATTTTCAGTAGTGGAGGATTGTGGTTGGCGGTGATTAAGGCGTGCATCTAATGTCTCAAAATTGATGTCTCCATAAACACTTTCACTATCGATTACATCCTCATCTCCACACCATTGATGTGCTGAAAACGAAGAGCCCTAACCTTTTATTTGGATTTTTGAATATTGGTAATATAGCTTCGATTTTTATTTTTATATCTGGTTCTATAGCTTTGACTGAAGGTAATATAGCTTTCCTGTATTTGAATGTATGATTTATATTGTAGACTCTAATATGTAGGATTGTCTTTCTTATTAGGCTCCATAGGATTTAACAATTTTGATTAAATGTGTTGATATAAATAAAATGTAAGGTTGTTTACGTATGCTCATATGTTTTTTGCAGGCTTTCCAATATAACCCTACAAAAAAGATACGCTTTCTTCATCATCCTTTCTATTCTTAGGCTTTCTTCTTCATCTAGGGTTTTTGTGAGTTTTGTTTTCTATGTAGGTAGAAATAACCCACTCTAATGTTTCTCTTTATTTCTGTTTTTTATAGTTTTCTTATTTTTATGTGATAATTGGTGTGTTCTTATCAGGTTATTCTACATTGCAAGTGTCTGTGTGACACACACATAAGTCGATCTTGAAACAGGTCTTTGTCTTTGTCAGGAGATGTATTTGAGTTTTTTTTTTCATTTTTGTGCAAGTAGCTGTTCATTTATTTTCAATTTCAGGTTAAGTAAATCAGATTTTAAGTTTGAAGCACTTACTAATTGTATTTTATTTGGGAAAAATTAAAAACTAATTTCTTAGTTATGGTTGAATGGATTTTTTTTTTGTTGTTTTTCCTTAGTTTTATATGCTATAGTTCAAGAGATGATGTTGGGTTTTGGTTCATTTTGATTTTTGTGATTTGTCACAGACTCTTTTTTACAGAAATATTTAAAAAGACGATACAAAAGTTTGCTCTAAGTGGTGGTGTAATTTCTCTGAGGGAAGGTAAATCGAGAGAAAGTTTCCACAGGATGTGTATTAACTTTTCTAGAATCATAAAGATTGTGAGATTCTTTTATATATTTTTGGTTTGCAAACATTTTTTTGGTTATTTGTTTTATTCTAATCCATATTTTGTGATATATCATTTTTTATTTCAAAAACAAATGTTAATATAGCTTTATGTTTTGTTGTTTTTTAATAGAGTACTCTTTTAAAGAGTCGAGGATGGCTGCTAGATCAAGAAACACCTGTAGTACATATGCAATTAGAAAATTGAAGAGATTGTTTATTACAATCCTATCGTTTGCTTTTTGTTATTTAGGTATAGGGTAATCATGTTATGAGCTTCTCCTTTATCTTTTTACATTTTTGGGTGCTTGTAAATTATAGCATTATTGTTTTCAAAATCTACACTTGATACGCATAAACCCTTCCAACAATCTAACCATGTCGGCTAAAACATGATTAATGGATTTTGATCTTGGCTTGAAATTGTTAATTATCAAGTCTTCTCTTTATAGGACGATGCAAATCTTGTAGTCTCTAAACATGACAATAATAAAAAGTTACATTTTAAAGGTTATTCATGTGATATATATATATATATATATATATATATATATGTGTGTGTGTGTGTGTGTGTGTGTTACTATAAACAGGTACAATGGCAGGATAGTTACCTAAAACCGATGTTTTCTTGGCTACAAGAAATTTTGGATCAATGTATTTCTTACATCAGCTACAAGGTATTTCCTAATAAACTTGGTACTTCCTTTAAATATTTAAGAGCATGTACTTTGGATTAAAAGACTGCCATGCTTCCACATTGTGGATAAAAAAACCAACATTTTAGGTCAAAATAACATGTACTCTAAATTCTTTTCTTATTTACACTACAAAGGTAAAAGAATCTACTTAGCATTAACATTGTAGTTTTAGTTCTTTTCTTATTTGGACATTATTCTTTGAAAAATCTACCCAAATATAGCATCACTAAATGTTTTGTATATGGATGAAGTTACGTGTGGCTAGATCTTCTAAACGGTTGCAATAATAAGAAATAAAAGTAGGGTGCTATAATGATAAAACTAATGAAAGTGATATTAATTATTGAATTTAACCTTTGGATTTTGACTTTTAAGCTTAAACATATACCGTGCATTTTGACTTTTCAGGTTGACCATAAAAAATTCCTATGGAAAATAAAATAGATCCCTTGCAAATGGAACATTAGGTGGAATTGGTTTCTCTATTAGTTGGTTAAACAAGGTCTAATGTCTTTTACTTAACTGGTGTTGGGGTGAGGTTTCCTATTAATCATTGTGTAGATATGTGATATAACAATAATTTATTTAATTTTCTTTTTATTTTATGTGTGTTTTTGTTGTTTATTATTCAATAAAAATTATATTGGAAGAAGAGAATAGAACATTGTCAAAATCATGTTTCTTTTGGGTAAGTTGCCACTGAATAACAGAAAAAGATAATGTGAGCATTTTCTTTTTTTGTTTTCATGTTTTGCTTATTAAGTATTGTTAGTAATACGTGTTATTTGTGAAAGTATTTTTTTTTTTTTAAATATTTGATGTATATGTTAGTTTATTACTTATACATTACAATCATTTATCTAATAGGATCACAATCGTTCACCGATTAGTTATATCTAATTAGTATAGCTTTTAAATTGAAACAAATAGATAAATACAAATATTTTTTTTTCTAATAAGAATGACAAAGCATGGCTTCTAGTTTATAGACATTATAAGAGTTCAAACAAAATGTCTATGAAATATCTTCATATAATGAAAACATAAATATGTTTCATAGTCCTCAAATTTTGACTTGGAAACATGAATGTAAAATAATAAATCGGAATACGTATATTTGTATTTTTACTTTACACATACAATTTAAAAATTATGTATCATTAAACATGACAATGGATTTAATATTACCATTTAAGTTATATAACTCAATTTACACATGAAATTTAAAAAATAGTAACATTTCTTGATAAAATATTATATTTTTATTATATATCAATTTATAACAATGGATTTAATATTACCGTTTAAGTTATATAACTCAATTTACACATGAAATTTAAAAAATAGTAACATTTCTTGATAAAATATTATATTTTTATTATATATCAATTTATAAGAGAAGTTCAAGTCTAACCATTTTTTTCAATGAGATTATAAAAACATAAAATTATGAAATAAAAATACGAGAAATATAAATAATCACCATATATTTTCGATCAAAATTGAAATAATACATCACATTGAATGTTTTCCAAAAAAAACAACATATTTTTAAAAAAGGAAAAAAAACAATAAATGACGAAACTAAAATCCTAACATGCAACTATTCACCGAACAAAACTATTAATTGTCTACCTTATTTTCAGATTCATATGTTTTGAGCACCTTCATTACATATGTTGCAATTCATTTAATCATTTGTCTATCACTCTGTATTGCATGGCTATCACAATATTGCATATAAACTATTCACATAATCGATCCCCAATGCAAGCTGTAATCACTAAAACGAAAATATTCGCCGAAATAAAACTAATAGTGCCGAGAGAGTAGACTGCATAGATTACAAGTGTAAGGTAAACAAGTGTAGAAAATAATTTATGAAAAACTATTTGCACCCGTCGCTTGGCGCGGGTAAACGACTAGTATATATATATATATATATATATATATATATATATATATATATATATATATATATATATATATATCCCCTATTATAATAAATAAGTATTAAATCGCCACGTGTCACTCTCTAAGCCTCCCCCATTCGTTTTTTCCCGCTCTTTTCACTATGTCGAATCCCGAAAATGCCCCTCGGCTCTATTAAACTGCCAGCTAATTAAAAACCGCTCCTGTTTTCTCTGCATTTAAAAACCAAAAAATCGGGGTCATTAAATCAAGATTAGGTTTTCCTTTGACCACGTTATTAAAATCCTGAAAATTAGGAATTTAAATCGAGTATGTTATCTTATATTTTCCTGAAGATTATGTTTTCCAATCGATGTTTTTAAATGAATTTCAGCAATATATGACAATAAATCAGGTATGTTATCTTATCTTAAAAAAAATTAATAACGTCAGACCCAATTTCATTGTTCTATATACGACAACAATTCGTTTATTTTACCATTGTTCCGTGATCGATATAGTAGCAGACACTGAAGTTCTCACTTTGATTCCATTTTCTTCTGCGAAGTTTGTCTGTATTTCTGCCATCAGGTAATTTATTTCTGAACATCTTTTTTCAGTCTTTGCCTCAGAATCAAAACTTTTTGCTGTAGTCATCCTGTGTATACATGAAGACAATATCGTAAATCAAATAAATCCAGAAACAATAAAAAAGATATGAAAACCTAAAACTCAAAATTGCAAAAAGATAAACAATTTCTTCGTTTTTTGTGGTTCATTCGTTTGACTCTTTATACTCTAATAATAGTTACTGTAGTCTGTAGATCATGTTGTTTTTGGTATTAACTTCTTTCAATTGTTTGTTTACAATAATTCATACACTAAGATTTCTAATAAGAATCTTTCAAGCTGTTCTTTTATCTTTATCTTCTTATGCATGTTGACATTACATAATCTGTAATTCAGTATTACCTTCTTTGTCAAACCTTTTTAAATGGCTCAATATCACAATTTTATTCAAATTCCTGCATTAAATATCATGAATTTGTATAAATTACGCTTCTATGATTCAATATCTTTTCTACATTACTATTAAATCAATTATGTTTCTCATCTTTTATAGTTTAAAAACATTATCAATCTTGTAATTTAAATCAGATATATATTGACTAGCTTAATGTATTAAGATATCAGTCATTTACATATTTGTTATTCTTTTTTTCCAGTCATTTCTTTTATGTTTAATTTAAATATTGTGAAAATTAGTTATTGACCAATGTATACTTCTGTTTGTTTGTTTGTTCTTTCTTTCTTTTTGATTCGGAACAAAAAATGATGTTAATTCTTATTCATCCTGTAATGAAAGTATATTGTTATTTCTACCATTTGTTGTGTTCAAATCTTATTGTCAATTGCTGGAAATAGCAATCAAGATTGAATTACTTATAGGAAGCCAAAAACAAATAATAAGAATCCGAAAACCTAAAAATGAGAATTGCAAAAAGACCCTAATTTTCTGTGTTTTTTTTATTCGGAACTAAAAAGACAATGAAGTACATTGTTATTTCTTCAAACCAATGAATGTATAAGAAAACAGATATGAAAGTAAATAATAAACATATCAACAAAAGTAAATTGCTATTTTTTTTTTCCATTTATCAATCAATTGTACTTTTATTATTTATGTGTTGAATAAAAGAATAATGGTAGGATCATATATACCACAGATTCTCAGCCATGCTTCTTAATTGCAAGAATGACATTTATACATGGTTAGCGGCCAAACAAGCTTTCACCTACTCACATACACACATTCCGAATTAGCAAAATGCAACTCTCGAAGAATATCAATGGAGATTACAGATTACGATTGTGTACCTGGTTAGCAGCCAAACGAGTTTCTCTATCGCGATATCCTCAGGATCGCCTTGCAGTTCCGACACTGTTAATT